GGGGGGGGGGGGGAGTATTGTACAATATAAAATGTATACCCCCACTTATATTATTCAACGTTACGCATTTTCGTGTCGCTAATTCCGTGACGCGAATTAGGCTTACACCGTGCCAAAAGAAGTTTCATTTCAAAAATGACGTGTTTTGTAAAAATGGCGCACGTCTAAAATAAAAATTCTGATTAGACCTTCTGCAGCTATTCTTATACAGAATTGAAAATTATTTGGATTTTTGTTTTAATGTGCCGTGGTCGCAGCGTGGTCTGATTAAAAAAAAATTTGATAACACTCGCACGTATGGCAGACTGTTTCACTTTTTGATAGTTTAAATATTATTCAACCGAACAGAAAAGTAACTTCTGTGTTTCTGACACTATTCGTGACCTATGAGATGTCCACTTTGCTGGTTTCTCTCTAACTGCTCGCTAAAATAGGTTCAGGGTGGTTTTTAAGGAAGTTGTGAAAATGTGGAGAGGGACAACGCTTTAGGTTTGAAATTGTACATTACGGTAGTTATATAATGGGATAGACCTATTCTGAGGTTTTATGGGTTGGATGTCGTTTTTAAGGATTAATGGATATTTCTAGGATAACGGGTCTTAGGAAACTGAGATAAGTGCTAGGGATAGAGGTTGGTCATGCTCATAGAAAATTTGGAAAAAAATATACTAAGTTGGAGGGTTATACAACACCTCCCCTATTTAAGATTGGAAAATATTTTTCCAATCCTTCACAATAACTAGATTAAATTGCATAATATAGCTAACTTACATTAGATTATGAGATGGTTAGAATGGCATTGTAACTAGAATTTAGATTACATAAGATAATTACGATAGCTTAAGTGTAAGTTTGATATTGGTGTTGTGCTGCGTCGACTTCTCATCCGTGGTTTACGGTACTTTTGATGAGCTTCTGATGCTACGACAGTGGGGTTAACTTCCAGGTCGGAATCATCCGTCATTATTTGTGGAGATGATAATTCCATAGTTTCTGGCGTTGGGGGTAAGGATCGTCTACTTGCAGTATGTGTGACTTCTCTCTTTGGAATAATGTGCTAAGTATGAATTTCTGAGTCGAATGTGCAATTCACAAAGTTCTTGATAATTGGCGGAATGGTTTCTCCAGTGTGTAAATCACATATATAGCAGCAGAATCGTTTTAAAACTCGCAAACATCCGCACAAACGGCAGCAGTAACAGAGGATGACTAGGAATATTATAGCTCCAATTCCACATAAGGCTATTATGTACCACTGAGTAAGAGTGATAATAAATAGGTCTTTCAGTCGTTTGGTGAGAATCTCGTCGAATTCGTTAAGTTTTTGGTTACGAACTTGAGATCGTTAAGATCGATGTTATCGAAAACACAATTTTTTTCAGGAAAAGACGACAAACGACCGAATTCAGAAGAGAAAGATTACTCACAGGAGGCGGTCCTCCTGTACCTGATTTATGTGATCTTATTTTAAAATTAGTAAATGAAGCAGCACCACATGCAGATGTGGAATTACCCTGCACCTGGGATAGCACAGCTGCATATGAAAATAAAGGTAATTACAAAATAAAAATATATGAAAGATGCGAATAATACCTGTCTGCTCATTGTCGTGAGCCCAAATACTGGGTTCACGGATTTGACTGCCGGAAAGGGTTTTCGGGAGTTCAGGTACTTAGGGATTCGTTGCCTGAGTAAAAAGTTGGAACTTAACTCTCGATAATAAGTAAAAGATTTATTTGAAACAAAACAAGTTACGTTAGAATACACTATTAGAAATAAACCGTAAACATGGTGAGTACGAAATCACGAGGCTAGAGGTTAATACTTCGACTAAGTTACTGTAGTAACGCTTCACTCGTAGCTCTCTACTTCGTCTGACGAGCCGACAGGCCGTCCGCTTTTTATAATCTTAATTATGAAATTTTTTAGAGATACAATAACCAAGGATTGTTTCTATATTTCGCCATGGTGTCGGTGATGTGTCTCCTTTGTTTCCATAATATTGGCGAGTGGAATGTGCCGCGTCGCAGCGTGGCCATTCCGTCGCTTCTGACGTAGGCGCGTTTCAAAATCTATATTATGGTTTACAACATCATGAATGATTCTTTTAATGATTATTTGTTTGCAGATAATAATCAGGACAAAGAAGAGGACATAGATTATGAATTAGAATATTTGGATGGTTGCTTCGAGGAATCGTTGATCACACCACATGTAACAGAATCAAAATGATGTCTTCGTCTTGAGGCTACTATTGTGAACACTTCTAGTGAAAAAGTTATGCCGTCAATACCTTCGTTCACTCGCAAGAGGAGGTATAGTACCAGAAAAGATGACGAGGAGAAACAATTACACATACAAAAGGCAAAAGAGGCACTAGAGCAACAAAGGGAATTGCATCAACTTAGAATGAGGACTGCAGAAACAGGAGCTAAAATAGCTGAAATTAAATTAGAACAGGCAATGATGGAATTTCAGGCAGCAACAGGAGAAAAATGTACTTCTTAATAAATTAGGTATAAATATAATTTTAATGGTAAATGTGCATAATTTATTATTTAGTCTTACCCAAAATCATAACTAGAAATATCGTTATACGTT